GAAATTTCACAGACACTTTGAAAAAACTGTAAATGCAGTGATCTAGGTAATCAGATGTAAATCTTAGCCATAGATTACCAAAACCCCCCAAACATTGTATGGAAGAAACAAGTATAAAGTGTAACATATCAAAACTAGAGAGATGAGGATGGCAGCACAAAAATATAATACAGTTCTTCTTTATCTTTAAAATTCTTGGGAAAGATATTCCCCAATGATGTCCAGTGATATTACTTCCAATAACTGTTGAGGGGAAATAGCATGTGCTTACTGTACTACAAGCATCTCATTTAAACGCTTAGTTTGTCTACAAATTATAGTCAGTTGGTAAGTTTTGATAAGAATTTTAAAATCCACTGCAACCATTTTATTTGCACCCATATTTTAGTGCATCCATGTACATGTAAGCATGAAAATTATGAGTGCGATGGGACTAATATGTGAAATCTCAAACTCAAATTATAAGCTTTTCTTAAATTTTATCACACATAACTCAGTTGAAAGATCTGCTTGCTATCAATGATAGAATGTATTCTTTGTGCTAGTTAATCATTATATCCATCAAAGGGAATAAAGTAGCAGAGTTAAGGGACTTTTCCTAAGTATATATACATATGAAGAAAAACAAAAGTAGTTCGCAAATAAGGTTGTATAATTAGGTAGGCCTGTTAGAGGAATTCTGAACATAAAAAGAATACTTTTGATTATAAAGTGGTTTAAACTCCAACTTTACTCATTTAAACTTCATTTAAATCTAACTTCAATTTTGAGTTGGATCTTATTTATGAGTCTCAAAGTTGTACTTACACACACTCTCAGAGTTCTGATCTTATTCTTTCAAACCATTCTCCCTCCTCATCAACAGTGTCTATGTTCAAGTGCTCAGCTCCTAGTGTTTCTATTGTATAGATTCTTCACTACTTGTAAGATAAGCCTCTTCCCTCTCTTTCCATAATTAAGATGATTTTTCTTCTTTGGGGTTCCTAAAGTTTACATATTCAAGGCCATATAAAGGCAAGAACTACATAACTTTTCTCCTGAAATCCTATCTGAAAAATCTTGTCAACAATAGTATGTTTTATTTTGAAACCTCATCGCCAGCAGTTTCCCAGTGCCTCTGCCCATGTCTACCTTCTCTTCTTCTACTGTACCACTGAGCTGCGCCCACTCCAGGAGCAGTAAACATCGTCCTGTGATAGACCATGCTGCAGACTTCCTTTTTCCTGCAGTTGGGAACAGCTCTTTCTATTTCATCCACTGAGTTGCTCCAAATCTTGGGGAAATATGTTCTAAAATTGTTTTTCTCCTTTAATCTTTGTAATTGTACTGTTAAACTCATGAAGTGATTTTAAAAAGCATATGTTAATCCATGAAGATGTGTATTTCTTTTGCAAAGGAAGACACGAAAAATCTAAGTTACTTAAATTGGAGGGAAAAAAGATTGAGTAAATTACTAACAACATTTGAATTTAAATTCAGAAGGATTATATAACTGTCAGGGACCAGCTCATCTTTGTTACAGATTAAAAGGAAATGTGCTCCAATTTAAATAAAATGGTTTCTCAGTAAGACATAAGGGAGAATTGTTGAATAATGGTAAATAATACAAAAATTGTTTAATAACTGAGTGGCTTACTAAAATTGATTATTCCTTTCCTTTCTGTAGGAGCCAAATGGGAAGGTTTATATAATTCAAATTTGATAAATATTCATGTTTTATGAAGGAAGAAGGCTATGCGTATTGAAAGATAGGAATGGGTAGAGGCATACAATGTTAGGGAACAAGTGAAAGAAGTATGGCTTATTCAAAAAGAGTCATTTGATAGCTATATTATATTCTATTCCTGGGGCAGAAGAGGACTTTTAAAAAGATATTTTCAGAAAATAGTGTCCTTTCTTTTCCATTTCTGTATTTTATGGGGTAAAAAGAAAGGATTTAAAGGCAGAATTTGGTTACCTATGTTTATTAGGTTAAAATTATCAAGACTATTTTTGTTAAGTTTTATTTTGTTTCATGGATGCAACTGCAAAGTGAAACTCAGAAGTACTTTTACATTTCAAAAAGTTTAAATTCTCTTAGAGACTGCATCATATAAAAACATTAGTTGTTGGGTTTCCAAAGTTTTACAATTTTTTTGTTAGGCTCATTTAAAAGACACAAAGTTTGTTTTTTTTTTTAAATTGACATCTTATTTTTGAAGTGCATGAAAAAGTTAAAATAATCAAGCAGAAAGAGATATTGCTGGAATCTGAACTACCCTTATATGCCAAAGAGTTAGCTGATAAGAATTCCAAGAGTCCTTGCTTTGGGAACTAAGAGTGTTTTTTTTCTTTTTACATCTGAAGGACTTGGTAAGATTCAATTTAACATCCATTGCTAAAAACAAAGTTTGTTTGACTAAAGAAAAGTTTTAATTTTTTCAAGTAATCTGTATTTTTTTACAACAAACTGATAGTAATTAGTTTAAAGGCAAGATTACAACTATTTTCAAATTGAACATCTTAAAAAGAAAATAAAAATATTGTCATAGGCTAGCCAAAATGACAGGACTATCATATTCAGAAGGGAGATTTTTTTCCTTAAAAATGTTTTTAAAAGCTAAGTACTACTAGCATAATTTAAAAAGAGCCCTCATAATTTCTAAATAAAAATTTCTAAATAAAAAACCTTTCCACATTTCCTTAACAGCCACAAGATATGTATGGGAAACTTTACCCAGAAGAATTTTATATTCTATGCTAAAGTTTAGTTTTCCTTGACAAAGATACACCACCAGATAAAAATCAGACTAATAAAGCATTTCGAAACCAGAAAATCCCAACTAGAATTTTTAGTTCTAAAATCTGTTTATTTGAAGAACAATGCAATAATGTAAGATATCACAATTATTTGAAGAACATAAAGACTTAAAAAAGTTAAAAACAGCATCAGCCATAGAAATACTGCAAAATGGGATACAAATATCTATCTTTTCAAGCCTAACCCTCTAGAAGCAGGCTACTTTATCTAAAATAGTTAGAACAGAATTAAACGATTTTAAATATGCAAATATTTTCACAATTAGAGAATAGCTATGTCAATAAATAAAAGTTGTTCTGATAAATAGGTTACAGCAGGACAAATCATGGTAACGTCCATTTTTTATTTTATTGAGTTACAAAAGCTGATTTCACACCCGATGATTGCAGAGGGATTGAGGCTTTTTTTTCCCCCTTCTTCCTCCCTTGTGTGATGATTTCTGCATGTTTCAGTAGACAGCATCACACGTACAGTCTTGCAGTGGGGCCCAAGGCAGTTGCAGCAAGTATTTCCGACTCGGCGTGTGAGGAGCTAGGAGGGTACAAGAAACAATCTGTAAAACCACAGTACAGCTTGCTGGTTCTGTCCTCACAGATAACCTTTTAAAATCAGGCTCATAAAATGCAGTTTGTTACCTAAAATTTTTAAGGAGAATCTTTTGTTAAATATTAACAAAAGAATGTCTATCCTAATGCCCTTTAAAATGCAAACCTTAAAAAAAAATTGAACTCTCAAGTCTTTCTGGAAAGCGCTTAAATCATCTGGAGATAAATATCACTTGGTGTCCTTGTTTTCTAACAAATGGCTTTTTCCATTGTTTCCATTAATTTCATCCATATTCGTTAAAAAAAACAAGGCCGTTCTCATCAGCAAAACACAGATGTATGATTTAGCATACAAAACTGGTAATTACATACTGACTTACGAAGGATTAATTTTTTTCTTTTCGTCAGTTTTCGATGTCTTCCCGTGATTAACTGTAAACAGGAATGGTTTATACCTCAAATTAGAAGCCATTAATTAGCATGACGAAGTCAACTGCAGGATACACCAATAATCTAAATTATTTAATCACTAATCACCTTGGTTAAACTGTAGTATATTCTTTCGATATTCTTCGGTAGGTTTTTGACCTGTCACTAAATCACCTCCAGATCAGTTAAGAGATAAATATCAGCATCGTCTCCTTTCCCTCAGGTTTACATTATCCCTTCTTGTAAACACTTAAAAAAGCTTTAAGGTTCTTTAATCCCCAATCCCTCATTAGCCATCACTAGCCTTTTTATAATCAGGAAAAGAGTATCTGAAGTACGAATCAGGAGTTCGCTTTGCCCGTTTAACAATGAAAAACATTTTTTTAAAAAAATGTACGCTCAAGGCAATCGTTCGTAATAAAAGAAATATGCCGAGGTGGTTACGGCAGATAACGGGTTTGCAAAACGCAAGTGCTTCACGGAGATCACCGAACCTCGATTGCAATGCATGGCACTCCAGCAAACCGCGCGGCGCTGCACCGGCTGCCGAAACAACGCAGGGCAGGACTGGCGACGCCACCCGCGGCGTCCGCACACGCACATGGCGAGGGGCAGCAAGCAAACATTATCATTCAACTCGGCCGGCGGCGGCCAGAGCTCGCCCGGCGCGAGCGTTCCCTGAGCGTGTCAGCGTGCGCGCGTGAGCCCTGCTCAGGGCCTGTCCCTCGCGGGGAGCTCACTCCATTTGTCTCCCATTCCTGCCTCACAGAAACTAACTTCCATCTCCGCGCAGCCTGCGCCGCGGCGAGCTCCGGCGCTGCGGCCCGTGCGTCAGATCCCTCCGCGTTGCACCGCCCCTCCCGCCCTGCGCGCGCGGCCTCCTCAGAGAAGGGCCGCTGGCCAGCCCGCGGTTCGCCTCCGCCGTCTTCTCCGACGGGAAATAAATAAATAAGGCGCGCCCGCGGCCGGCAGGCCAGAGGAGGGACAGGGCCCGCGCGGGCCAGGCGGGAAACCGGGGCCGGGGCCGGGGCCGGGGCCGGGGCCGCGGGCTCTGGGCCGCGGCGGCGGACTCCTTTTCCGCGGCGGAGGGATCCGCGGGTATCGGCACGGCCGGCCCGCGCGGCGCGGCGGCGGAGAGTTGTTGTTTCCTCCTCCGCCTCCGCCTCCGCCGCCGGAGCTTGAATGGTGGAACCGAGGCTCGGCTCGTGAGCGCTCGCTGACAGCTCCCGGGCGGGCGGCGGCCCCGTGCCCGCTTCCCCGCGGCGGCGGGGTGTCCCGCCGGCGGCCTCGGAGCGACCCCCCCAAACATGTCTCGGGAGCGGAAGGGCCTCTCGGAGCTGCGCTCGGGTAAGTCGGGATGCGGGCCGCCAGCCCCGGGGAGCGCCCGGCCCCCGGCCCCGGCCCTCCGCTCAGCCGTGTGCCCGTCCCTGTCTCTGCAGAGCTCTACTTCCTCATCGCACGCTTCCTGGAGGACGGCCCGTGCCAGCAGGCGGCCCAGGTACGGCGGGCGGCGGCGGGGGCCGCGGGCGCGGGCGGGGGGCGACGGGGGCCGCGGGTGGTGGGAGGCCGGGCGGGAGCCCCGGGCTCAGCGCCCCGCTTTGTTGTCGCAGGTGCTGATCCGCGAGGTGGCCGAGAAGGAGGTGAGGCG